TATAGAAACCACAGCCATACCATCTAGTAGGGTGAAGCTGTGATAATACAAATATAATAGTCTTATCCACATGTAAAAAAAGACCAAAAATAATAGAAACATTATTTTAAAAAAAAAAAAAAAAACAACATTCAACAACATCAACTATGAACACAGCCACAATGTGCTAACCATGTTTGGAAAATAAAAGTCCTATAACTCTAGATACATATATAAAACAACCCTTACATTCAGTTAAAAATAAAAATAAAATCATCCTTGATAATGGCTAAAAGTATAACCGAAAGAGTACAGATGTACAAAACATTTGGACAATAAAGAAGTTAATAGTCAGAGTTGAATTAGACGAGGAAACAGTAGTATTAAAAAAATGCTCAATACACATAAAAAATAAAAAAATTAACATGTAGTGCTTTTAAGTATAGAACATCAGGAAATCAGCCAGTTCTGCTATCTTGGTTTCAACCTTTTGGCATCTTCAGGCAGTTGAATTTTTAATGCTTTATTTTTTAAAAATAAAATTTTATGAACATTGTATTTTTAATAAATAATAAGCACACAACATGAGGTGTGGTAGAAGATAAGGAGGAGGGGAAAATCAAGTGTATTAGAAATGTATTGGTGGTAGATTAAAAAAAATATACATACGTTCTTTTTATCCCACTTCAAATCCCCTCCTCCTTCTCCCCTTCAATCACACCTCACATCGTGCACTTATTCGTTTATTTATTTATTTTTTAATATTGACCCAAAGATACCAAAAGGTTGAAACCAAGGTAAGGAGAATTGATTGATTTCCTAATTTTCCATACTTACTTTTTATTCATATATGCATATATATATATCTATATATATATATATATATATATATTAAAAAGACATAATTTTTTTCTTACACCAAAGGATTTATGTATATATTTGTATGTGAACACTTACATGTACATTTATTTATATTTATTCATTTGATTATGTACATTATTTACATTGTTCGGACTATTGTCCTCATCTTTGTCGCCATATTTATCACAACGTTTCGTCCGTTGTACACTCTGGCCTTCTTCAGGTGGTTGGAATTTTGAACTGAAACCATTATTTCGCTCACTGGGGTAGACTGTTCTAGTTCCACGTGCCGTGTTTGAAAGATGTCAGTTATCAGTTATCTCCTGCTAATTTCCCTCTGAAAGTTCTCCACTGCCTCAACCGGGTATTGAACTCTCACTCTTTGGGTCCTGTCACTGGATCTGACCAACGCCTTTATCCACTGTGCCTGATAACTGACATCCATCAAACATGGGACATGGAACTAGAACAGTCTACCCCAGTGAGTGAAATAAATGGTTCAGTCCAAAATTCCAACCACCTGAATAAGGCTGGAGTGTACAACGGCCGAAACGTTGTGATAAATATGGTGACAGAGATGAGGACAATAGTCCAAATAATGTAAATAATGTATGTGTATATATATATAATATATGTACAAAATTCTTTATTGTTATAATTCAAAATGATAAGATTTGGAGTAATGTCATCAAAGACATATATATATATATATATATAAATAGCATCCCCAAAAGATTAGCACTACTTTTTCATTTAAGGAGATTTATTAAATTCTTTTCAGAGAGGCTTAAAGACTGATTTAAATTATATATTGTTATATTGTTATCTTTAAAATATCAAATGAAAAGATTGATAAGATTTGAGTAATGTCAAAAAATAAAAGATTTTTAGATATAAAAATAATAAATTACTCTTCTGTAATGGGATGCACCTAATTTTCAGGTGCATTAGTTTCATGCTTGCACTGTTAGAATAACTAAAACTATTCATCTTTGAAAAACATTGGAAACTAAACAAACATACATGTGGGATCATTGTATTCAAACATTTAAATTTTAATAAGGAAAAATTAGTTATAATTCATCTATTATTTTGAATATTTCTGTGATGAGATTTTACAATATGAAATTTTTATGTTTAGCATCCCCAAAAGATTAGCACTACTGTTTTCATTTCAAGGAGAATTTATGGAGAACTCTGTTTTGGGTCCTTTTCAGAGGAGGCTGGATAAAGACGTTATTTAAATTCAATACCTTGTTAATGCAGTGGAGAACTTGGAAAGGGAATTAACAAGATAACTGAAACATAGAACTATTCTACCCCAGTGAGGAAATTAATTAACCCCAGTTCAAAATTGACATTCAACTGAACTTTGTAAATCTGGCAACAAAGATGGTGTTAGAACAAAGAGATCTCTTATTTTATTATTACTATTTTTTTTAATGGAGATGAAAAATGTTTAACATGATTTACTTTTCATTAGTTTATTAATTTCTTGGAACTTTGTACTCCTCATTTATTAATTTCTTAAACCCTCCTCAGGAAAACTGTGATTATCAGATTGGCAGCTGATCTCTAAAATGACCTAAAATATGCTGTTAATTAGGACAAGGAATGGCTTGTTAATTTTAATGCCTCCAAAATGAAACTTCTCTCTATTAATCATCTGAGACACCTCTTACTGTCTCTCATCAATGTGGCTGATTCTAAGCTCTAAAAGAGTAACTTGTTGTGCCTTCTCAGGCTAGCACTGTCAGTGGACATAAAGTGGAATGGTCATATTGAATCAATTATTAGGTCAGCTGCTAAAGATGTTGGTTCACTATATCATGCTAGACAATTTTTTGCTCTAGAATCTATCTTACATATATATAATCCTACCATTCACTCATGCTTTGAAATCACTGCAACATATGGTCTTGTATTCCTGCTATATATTTAGAGATTCTTGATAAAATCCAAAGAAGAATCTGCAATGTTATTGGTCCTGACCTGGCATCTCCACTTCAGTCATTTTCACATTGCTGTAACGTAACTTCCCTGTGCCTTTTCTATAAATATTTTCATGGTAATTGTTCTGATGGACTCTTCACTATGGTACCTAGACTCTGAATTTAAGCCCAGTACTAGATTGGTGGCATCAATTCATCAATTTACAGTTGAATTGGTTAGATGTAACCATAACTTTTATAGTAACAGTTTCTTCTCTTGCACTTCTTATGGAACTCTATTTTATGTTCTTGCTTTACAGTTAACTTTGATCTTCAAAAATTTAAATGCAATATCAATCATCATCTATTATCTTCTTGATTACTCTTATTCTGTAGTTCTCACTCCTTAATAATGTTTCTTTTTTTTCTTATTCTTTCACACATGGTCACACCTTGTTGTTAGTGGCTTTACTGCCTTGTTTGGGGTGAAATGTTCAAGGTTTTACTTGCTTGGTCTTATGATTGTATCACTTAAAATATAGTGTTCTGTTATCTTGTTATACTTTACAGAATGGCCATATAGTGATTCCTGATAAATACAAAATATATAAACAAAAAGAATTAAAAATTAAAATAAGGCATTTCCACTTTCCTTTAAAACCCAAATGTCTTTCTCTAAACTTCTCTTTCTATACTTCTCTCAACTGATAAGAAGGCAACCCTAAAATAAAAAGAAGATAAGACTGAACCCAGTTCAAAACATCGAAAGTTCATAGTAGTAGAGCCTACTTACTTGTGACTGAAAAATACCAAAATCACAGAGGCTCCACACATAACTTACGTTATAAAAAAATGAAAAAGAAAGGAATGCTGGAAAAAAAAATAATTTGGCTAATCAAATAAATTGGTACAAAGTGGCTTTGATGTTCATGCCATATTCAAGAGCCTGGTCAAATGGATAAAAAACCTGACACATCATCTGCTACTGACATTTCTACCCTGTTAAGAGCTGAGAAAACAGCAGATTGATATTGAACTTAATTTCTGAGATTACTACTATCCCTTCCATGGTTTTACTTTAAAACAGCCACCAATGTACATTTCACCAGAGAGCAATCAATATCCACCTCACTAACAAACTTTTTGACATGGCTGATTTACCAAAAGATTCACTCATCACTCTAAATAAAAAGATATTTATTTTAACCCTTGAGTCAGGTAGTTTTATTCATAAATTTTCTGATAAAATTATTGTACTTACCATCTATCCTGGCAATGTTCAGAAGTGAATACTTATGCCACAGCCACATTCTGATAAGATTATCTTACATAAATGTACTTTTGATATTTTATGAATTATATGAATCACTATTTGATTTATGCAAGCATTTTTGCATGGTCATGAAGTTGTGCCAGGGCTTCTTTAAGTTTAAGACGTCCTGAGAATAAGATTAGGTGTGACGATAGTGTTTCTGAAAAAAAAAAGTTATTTTATTTAAATTCTAAATTTTTAACCCTTTAAATTATTTTCTGACATCCTCTTCTCCATTTATTGCAGACTGATAAAAATTCCAACCCCACCACAATAAGACTCTCCCTTTGTATTTGACGTCTAAGACTACTCAAGAAAATCATAATATATGCAAGAGGTGTTCTACTGGGAATGGCACAACCATGATAATATTTAGTTTGTTGATGAATGTACAGTTTTTACTTACTATAATGCTACATATATTTCTTATTTATCAAGAAAAGATATCAAAAAATGTTTTAAAGATTGTTTTCTAATGGGTAAACTAATTATTTATTGATATCTTTTTCATTCAGGCTTATGGCCATATAGTTTTGAAACACTGATTCCTGTACAATTACCAAACTTAATATTGAGCCTGGTCTGTACCTAGGTGGGTGACTGCTTTGGAATACCACATGCTTTAAGCTTGTATGTACAAGGGCTGTAATGAATAATGGCTCAGAATTGTTAATCGAATAACCACATTCCAATTTCAATTGGGTTCATTATATTCTCTTACCTTGGGAAAGGTATGAATCTACTTTTTTCCTATCAGCTATGGGTTAATTAGTAAGCCTTCTTTCACTAAAATCATTATGATCGACCAAAAAAATTCTTACAATCTAAAAACATTTTCTGGTTTTAAATAACATGAAAAGAGTTGATAATAATTTATTGTAAAAATGCATCAATCAATCAATCTTTTTCTTTTGCAGTATGTCAATGTGCCTGTTTTATCAAAATGTTTTGTGTCAATCCAAAATGATGAAGAATTTTCTCCCGAAAGAAAATATTATTCCAAAGAAACATGTGTCTTCATTGAACTTAGATATACAGGCAGAAGAGTTTCGAAAAAGCAGTAAAAAGGTAATTTCATCTGGTATTTAAATCTTTCTTTTCTTCTCAGAAATTGTAAAGAGGGACTATTTTCATTTTAGTTGATATTTGCAGACTTATTTTTACAAGACTGTAAAAGAATTACTTTCAAATGTCAACTAGTAATTGAAATAAATAATTATTTAAAAATTGCTTTGCAAATAAAATTAATTAGTTTGATCCTTCTAACTATCAACCTAACTCTGAATTGGTTAAGCATCTCATCTCGCAGGGTCTCAGATGAACAATATGGCTTTTGTTTCTCTAGGTTGAATGCTCATGTGCTAACAGTTATTTCTGAAAGAGTCTGTCAAGTTTTAGATAAGAATGGTGAACCTTAGACTGTTGTCAAAGGTGTTTGACAGGGTTTGGCATGTTGGTCTTCTTCACAAGTTGAAAGGTTATGGGATTTCTGGTGAAATTTTAGATTTGACATAATCTTTCTTATGAAATTGTAAAATGAATGTTTTATTGAATGACCATGCTTCTAGATGTTTTTCTAGTAATGTGGATGTCTCCCACAGCTCTATTCCCTATTAAGGATTATCCACTCCTTAAGAATTAATGAATTTAGCATCCAGTTTAAAATATCAAATGACAAAGACTTGACTGAGACATGGAAGTTATGTGCTTTGTGTCTGTAGCTTTTGAAAAATAAAGATTTTTAGATATAAAAATAATAAATTACTCTTCTGTATACTTGGGATGCACCTGGTTACCTTTCAGGGTGCATTAGTTTCATGCAGGTGCACTGGTTGAGAAATGTTGGTTTAATCCATTAAACACTATTCATCTCTTGAAAAACATTGATTTATTTAGAAACTAAACAAACATACATGTGGGATCATTGTATTCAAACATACAATGATCCTAGATACATGATTGTTAAGCTTCTAAAGAAAATCAATAAAAAAAATGACAAAAATACTACTTTCCACAGAGTATATAATTCATCTATTATTTTGGTATCTGTCTATATTTCTGTGATGAGGTATTATGTGCACTATTTACATTGTTCAGAATATTTTCCTCATCTTTGTTGCCATATTTATCTATGTTTTTCTAGTAATGTGGATGTCTCCCACAGCTCTATTCCCAGACTTACATTGTTTCTAGTTTTCATCAATGACCTTTCTGATGTCATCAATTCTTGACTCAGTATCCATTCAAATGATAACTATTTACTTCTGTCTTAATGGTAAGTCTGATAATAAGGTCAAATTGGAAGCTGGTATAAAAAATGACCTTCAATCTGTTGTTATTTGTGGCAAAAATTGGCTTGTTAATTTTAATGTCCCCAAAATGAAACTGCTCTCTCTTTTGTCTGAGAGAACTCTTTTTGCCTTCCATCAGCATATGGCTGATGCTAACCTTCAGGAAAGTGACTCAATGTACCTTTTCAGGCTAATGTTATCCACTGACATGAAGTGGAAAGATTATATTGAATCAATTGCTAGGTCTGCTGCTAGATTCACTGTATTGTTCTAGACAATTTTTCTCACTAGTATATCTTACATCTTTATAAGTTTACAATTTGTCCATGCATTAAATATTGCTGCCTTGGTGCTTCTGGTATGTATCTACAGATTCTTACCAAAATCCAAAGAAGAATGTGCAATGTTATCAGTCCTAACCTGGCATCTTGCCTTCTGTCATTTTCCCACCACTTTTTCTAAAAATATTTTCATGGCAATTATTCTGGTGACGTTAACTCTTTGGTACCTCAATTATGAATTTAAATGTCATACTAGATTGGCAGCTAGGTCTCATCATTTTACAGTTGAAATTGATAGATGTAACCCTTCCATTCTAATAGTTTCCTGTCTTGCACTTCTCACTTGTAGAACTCTCTTCCAGTTTCTTGCCTTCCAGTCAACTTTGATATTCAAAAGTTTAAATGCAATATCAATCATCCAATTCTGTCTCCTTGAATCCTATTCTTTTACTGTTCTCCTTAATAATGTTTTTCTTTTTCTCATATTCTTTCACTCTCAGTAACCCCCTTGCGTCCTAGTAACTTTATTGCCTTGCTTGTTGGGAAATTTTCATGGGAACTGCTGGTTTACTTTTACTTAAATAAAAATATACATGCAAAATGTCATTATGATTTAAATAGTGTTTCTTATGGTCACATCATACTAGTACCTTCATACTGGTGTTATTTGTTTTGACTTTTTAGTTATTTGTATCAGTTATCAAATTTTTTATTGACTATTTAAAGTAATGTCAAAAGTTATATGTTTGAAGTGCTTAAAAAAGACCAAGCCATAATCAATGATTTACAAGTTGAATTCCTCTCTCTTTAAAAGAGTGCTTTGCTAAAATTATTTAATTGAAATAATTTGCATAATGAACAGCTTTTAGCTGATTGCAATCAATGCATCTTGCAGAAGAAACAAATATACACTTTCATTCTATGATGATAAAGTACATCCATCAGCAAGGCCTCTGATTGGGAGATTAGAGGTTTTGAGGAACATAGAACCACCTCTTACTTGCAGCTATTCCCAGGTCTACCCAGTTCTAGGGTGGTAGCACCTTTTAGGCCCCAGGTATATATAAATAGTGAACCCCCAAACACTATGAAAGTATAAAAATACATTTTAAAATAAAAAATACCAGCAATATATTTTTATATAAAAAAAAATTACCAAATGTTACATATTTAATAATAAAATTACTAACAATACATTTTTAAAGCAGAATTACCAACAATACATTTTATATCAAAATGACCAACAATACATTTTATAGCAAAATGACCAACAATACATTTTATAGCAAAATGACCAACAATACATTTTATCTGTAGTTGAAGCTATAAAACTGTGTTCAAAATATTTAGATTTTGGTAATAAATAACCCATAGAGGCTGATATGCTGCTAAACAAAATCAACTAACAACACTTTTATTCTTATTTATAGCTTTGTATTTTGCAGATTTTTTTAATTATATAAATCTAAATTAACAACAGTTGGCAAAATAACAAATATCCACATCTGTTTCTAAGTCCTTGTTAGAGAAAAATTATTTTCCACACTTCAACCTCTCTCTCTTACAGGCAAGATGAGGCAAGTCTCTCACTGCTCTATTGCTACTAACATGGAAAGTCTTCAAACAAAGTGCATCTCCTGGTTCCATCAGGTCTGAACTTCATGGTTAGGACCTGCCATACCACTTACATAGTAACAAACCACCCTCATTCCCTCTGTATTCCATTGGCGAGAAGTAATTTCCACTCAAAGAGCTTCTTCCTACGAACATCTGCCTTATGGAACAGACTCCCAAGAGAATGTTTCCTCAATCACTACAATCTTAACCTGTTCAAGTTAACCATTATCTTCCCCTCCTATCCCTATAAACTACCTCTTAATGCAACTCTCTATCTTGACTGGCCTCCAGGCCTTGTACAGGGTGAACCTTACTCTAAAAAAACCCCAAAAAACAGCTGGGCTTGTTACACCTTTGTTGACATGGCTATTTTACTTACATTATTTGCATTCTGGTGAATGGCCTCATCTTTGTTGTTCTTATCAAGTTTTGACCGTTCTGCCCTCTGGCCTTGTTCAAGTGTTCGTCAAAACAGGTAACCCTCAGGAAATTTCAAATTGAACATTTATTTAATCTACAGGGGTATATCCTTCTTGTTATGCTGTCTATGTCTAGGGATCTATCATGCTTACTTAGTACTACTCAGTTGGTTCTCATACAGTCACCAAAGTTAAGCAATATTAAGCTTGGTCAGTACCTAGATAGGTGACTGCTTGTGAATACTTGGTGCTGTAAGCTTGGATGTGTGGGTGGTGTAATGGATAATACCTCAGGAATATAAATCAGAGAGCCAAGTTCTAATTCCAGCTGGGTTCGTTATATTAACTTACACACAAATACCCTTGGAGAAGGGATAAATCCACTTCTTCCTCCAGCTCTGGGCTAATTAATAGGACTTGTATCAGTAAATCATTATTGTCCCAACAAAAATTGTAGAATATTTGGCTATAGTGCCTTAATAAACCTAGTATTAGCAGTAGCCCTGAGGATATAAAAACAAGTGAACCCTTAAGTAACTTTCTCTGCTGTTTTTCCTCAATTTGAAGTGTGTGTCATCGAGGCAAAAAGGGCTGTGGACACTTCACCCATAAATACACCTACACAGGCAAGTCACACTCTAATACATTCATTAACATTTCATTCTGTATGCAATTTATTTCTAGGAAAAGAAGCTCTTAAACTTTCCTTTTATCATTTTTATTAAATAAATGTCTCTGTTATTTTGTGCATGTACCAATTTTTCACCGCCATTATTTCATGTACCGTAAAATATTCTCATAAGAAACCTTATATATTAATTATAGAAGTGGCCAACACATTAAATGGTCATTGTTAGATGTAAATGGCTGAACTGCCCAACAAATAGACTTGACAAAGCTTTTAATAAACAATTACAAGAAAAGAAAAGAACAGGGCAAAAAATAATATTGAGCAAGCAAACAATATATGCAAGACAAAGGCAAAAATTTCACAAAGAATTGGTGTTGATACATAAGAGTGGATTCAGATTAATGAACATAGCATTCTGACTTCAAGACAAGACAGATGAGACCAAGAAGTGGTGTATCTTAATGGCTAGAAAGAAATCCAAGCATGCATTAGTGTGGGTTTGCCTATAAATTGGGGGGAGGGAAAAGTATTTTGCAGCAATTCACATTATGGATTAGAACCAACAAAAATTCTTACAATCTATAAAAATTTTCTGGCTCTAAATAACCTGCAAAAAGTTGATAAGCCATAAAAAACTAATCAATCAATCAGTCATGTTTCCACTGAGTCTAAGTCTGTACTTCATAATTCAGGAATTGAACTCAGAACTATTAATTCACCAAATTGACAAACCAATGCTTTAATCAACTAGGCTATTATCTATGACAAGCCTGAATATTGAATTTGGAGTCTAATGTTCTGCCTGTTGCTGAAGCAGCTACTGCTATCACATTGTGAAGCCATGCTCTAATTTTTTTTTATTTATTGATGGCTCCCATTTGTTATTTATTTCTATGCTGGGCCTGCTGAAAAGTTGCTCAGTGTAGCATCTGTGTTGATGTTTGATAAAGATGGTGGATTAAAGTATTAATTCAGGAATTTGGGAACATGGTAAAATCCCTGAATCAGGTAGTACAGACTTAATGGAAACAGGACTAGCCACCACTGAGCAGATATTCCTAGACATGGGCAGAGGGACAAGAACAAAAATAAACCCTTAGATTAAATAAAGGGTTTAGTTAAAAATGTCCTGGATCATCAGACACCTGAAGAAAACCAAAAGCCACAGCTGAAATATTGTGATTATAACAACAAAAATGTGGATATTTAAACAAAAAGGGCTATTTTTTCTAAACACTTATATTTAAAATCGTATTAAAATGGATTGTAGTTTGTTTCCTTCAGAAAGTATTGTTAAAAGGTTTATGAATCCCTAAATTTCATTTGTCTATACTAAAGTTAGTAAATAATCAATCTAGATGATATTTCCTTTCAAATTAAGTTGAATACAAGAATTAAAGATTTGATTTGTTTGTTTAATGGCATATCAAGACTTTATGTGTCATTTACTGCTGAAATTTAATTTTCTTAGGAGCTTTGAAGTAATAAACATATGATATATATTATTCTGCTTTCACAATTGAATACATGGTAGATGATACTCAACTTTTGTGCATGTACATGTTTGTGTGGACATAATTACTTGAGGTGTTGATATGTGTGTTTTACTAACATTATTTATATTATTCAGACTGTTATCTCATCTTCCTTGCCATATTCACAATATTTTAGCTGTTGTACACTCTGGCTTTCTTTAGGTGATTGGAATTTTGAACCAAACCCTTTATTTTGTCGACTGAGGTAGATTGTTTTAGTTCCATGTGCCATGACTCTTACAGATGTTGCAGTTATTTCCCTTTAACTCAACTCTTCATGTTTTGGTCCACCACTGCTGTTTCCTAGTATTGAACTCACAACTGAATCACCTGAAGAAGGCCAAAGTGTACAATGGCCGAAATATTGTGAATATGGCAGTGAAAATGATGATAACAATCTGAATAATGTAAATCATGTAAGTAATCATAATACCTCATCTCAGAGATATAGACAAATATGTGTGTTTTATTTTGTGGTTATTTTGAAGTTATATTTTGGAATACGGTTTGATTTCTTTAAGAAATTGTCGGATATTATATGGCTTAATGTCATGAAAGAGTTCTTTCATGTTGCTTTTTTGGTTGATTTTGTTTAGTTGCATATCAAGTAATATGGGTTATTTAATACTGCAATCTAAATATTTTGAACACAATTTTAGGGCTTCAACTAAATATATTTTGAATGTAATTGTAAGCCTTCAACTACAGATAAAATTATTGTCATTTTTCTATAAAATGTATAAAATTCTACTATAAATTTGTATTGCTGGTCATTTTGCTTTAAAATTGTATTGTTGGTAATCTTACTATAAATATGTGTTGTTGGTAACATTTTTATATAAAAATATATTGCTGGTAATTTTACTAAAAAAAGTATGTTTATACCTACATAGTGTTTTGTTATTTGCCCATAACTGGGACCCTAACAGATGCTACTACCCCAGGTCAAGGTGGACCTGGGAACAATAGCAATTGTGGTGGTTCCATACTCCTAAAAACCTCCAATCTCCTGATCACAGGCTTTGCTGCTGGATGTAATTTATCATCATACCCAGGACTGAAGAATTAAAGAACCAAAATTAACTCTAGGAACCACAACATTGATTCACTAACAATGTTTATTGTATAATGTTATTTAAAAAATGATTTCTGTCCAAAGATTTTCTGTTTATAAAGTGTTATGAGTGATTTCACAGTGGAGGCTTGTATTTGTACTAAGTCGGTCCTAAAATAGGTTCGACGTACAAAACGTTAGGAACTTTATATAATAGGTATAATGCAGAGAAATCTAGTTGTGGTTGCTGATAGTTTAGTATCCAACTAACGGTTATTCGGCATCGACTGACTGACCGACCCACTGAGCATATTATTCAGTCCCCCCCCCCAACGAGGGCATCATGTGGCACAAGGCTGGTTTAATGTGGGATCTCCAAGCCCGTGGGATCTCCGAGCCCGTGGGCTCGGCCAAAAATATGCCCTTTTAACCCATATAAACAGGTTCAGGGGCTGTTTACCTCCCCGAAAGACACTCCGCCCTTCGGCGTAGCCTCGTTTGGGTTCCTCCCCACCCGAAGGCAGAGAGTTCAACCAGTCAGCCGGTTGTCCGGCCTCAGACTGAACTCAGACCAACCCACTGAGTGACTCCTCATTACTATTACTACTCCTACTTATTATAGGTGGGAGAGTCTATTAACTATAGAATAGGTGTGTTTCACTATAACATAAAGAAAAATTATTAAAATGCTATTAACATATCTAATAAGTTAATAATTTATTTTTCTTCATTTATATGAAAACAGTTTTTATTTCTTGTTTCCAGGTAACCAAATATGAAAGCAAAGGACTTCCCATAGTGCACCATTATAAATATGTGTCAGAACTTCCTGTTGGTCACCGTTTTGCAATGAAGAAGTTCCATGGAATTTTACGCTATCTTCGTCAGGATAATGTTATCTCAATGAAGCAAGTGGTTGAACCTTGCCCACTAGATATGGAGAAAATGTCTGGTGTCCACACAACTGATTACTTGAAAAAATTTTTTAATGGCCTTACATCTGACAATGAACAAAGAAGAACTGGGTTCAAGTGGACTCCAGGCCTTGTGGAAAGGTGCCAATATGAAACAGGTATTCAGTTGTTTTTACTTTTTACTGTCATGGTTAAAAAACGTTTTCCTTACTCATTATTATTTATTGAGAAACATGTACTGGAGTCCTGACTGCCCAAGTTTTTCTTTTTATCTGAGTGTCAGGATTCCAAACATTTAACAGAATTTAAATGAAACATAAAAAGATTATTTACTGAAGGAAAAGTAGAAGCAGAACGTTAATTGAAATAACATTTATATATTCTTTTCAGAAATATACAACAGCAATAAAATGTTCAATTTTCCTTGCAGTGAAGTTTGTTTTATAAAGTAATTAAGTATTCTTAGTGCATTGTGAAATTTATGGACAGACTTACTTTATGATGGTCAGCCTAAGGTGTTTGTGAGTTCGTAGACAAAGGCTTAGTAGGCAGTTGCTGGTTAATCCCTTCTATTGTGTGCATGGACAAGGCCTTAGTCAGTGGCTTCTGGCTGTCTCCCATTATGTGCATGTTTGGGCATGCATGTGTAGATTAAAGTGGCCTCTTTAATTGTTTTGAACAGAGAAGCAGTATGCTTTTATTTTTATATCTGTAAGAGGATTCAAAATCTTATTTCACAAAGAGGTGTGAAATTTTTGGATACAAGGTTTTCATTGGTTAGAAAATAATTTCACACTGGCTCATGAAAATCTTTTTCTCAAATTTGCAGAGTGGTGAAAGGAGTTATTGTTATTTTCTATATGGTTAAAAAATAACATGTGGTAGATCTACAACTACATCCGCAAGTATTTTGGTTGTATTTGCCCTAGTAATGATTGTTTATCAAACAAAGCTTCTGATCAGATTTTATTCGTTAAAAAACATACATAGAATCTAATTCTTATACATGTTTATAGCTTATGTTTTTGTGTTTGTCTCCATATAGTGGAAGATCTGTATCTATTGAATCAGCCAGCTTACTCTGAAAAATATTGATATTTGATTCAGGTTTTTCTTTATTTTAAGATCAATTTCTTAAAAGTAGACAGTAGAAAAAAATTAAACTAAAACAGAATCTGAATTTATTATACAAATTTTGACTAAAATTATATCTTGTAAACATTTCTTTAAAGTTTCCAATAAAATTTTTAAACATTCACTGGTGTGTTTTTTTTGTTTTGTTTTTTTTTCTTTTTATTGCTCTACTTGGAGTAAAATGATTAAAAGAAAAAAAAACACACCAGTGAATATTTAAAGCCACTAAGATGCAAGGGAGTTACTAAGTGTGAGAGAATATGAGAAAAAGAAAACCTTATTAAGGAGAGGGAACATTGAAAGAACAGAAATTAAGAAAACAGAAGATATTGATTGACATTGCATTTAAATCTTTGATGATCAAAGTTGACTGAAAAACAAGAAAAGTTGGAAGAGAGTTATAAATGTTCATGCTGGTCTGTTTTGAGAGAAATAGGAAATTACCATTTACTAGAAATAAATAACTAAGGCTACCAAAAGGGATTCTTGCAATAAATTTTGCATTCCGTTTTGATGGTGATTTTTAAAAACATATGTGAACACCCTCTGTTATAATTATTTAGAATTTTTAAATTCATCAGTTTTAGCTATGGAATTTTTACAAAACAAATAAGAGAGCTGATTGGGAATTAATAAAAATATAAAATGGATTAAATGTTATGTACACTTTAATATGTTGTTGCTATATTCATAATAAATGTTTTAATGAAGATATGACGCTTAAATAAATATATTTATATTATATGCATCAAAAGAAAAAACTTAATAAAAAGGTATATGTCAAAATTTCTGCTGGGATCTGGAAGCAGAGGTTCTACAATTACAAGCATTCTTTCTCTGACCCTTATCTAAAACACCAGACAGCTTTTTCTAAATATTTCTGGGAATTAAAGGATAGAAACTTCAACCCACAGATAGAATGGAAGATTATAGGTAAATCCCAAACCCATAACTCTTTCAGAAATAAATGTAATTTGTGCCTAGAAGAAAAAATTAAAAATAATTAAACAAAAATGCTAGCCACCTATTGAACCAAAGTAATGAGATCATATTTAAATGTCACCATAAAAATAGATTTAAATTATCTTATAAATAGTTTTTTATTTTGCAGTATTTATTCAGTCATGCTTTGATTTATATATATGTATTTCTGTATGTGTGTATATGTGTGCAGGTATGTGTGTATATATATATATATATATATATATATATATATATATATATATATATACACACACACACACATACATGTGGATGTGTGTGTATATATATGTATTTGCGTGTCTATATATATATATATATATATATATATATATATATAAATTAATTGATTTAAAAATATTATTTTCGCTACACAGTTCCAACCATGTTTCAAAAATAGAAGCTAAAAACCCTAATTTTATTTTTTGCAAATAAATTAAAAGCATTAGTTCTATTTCATCTTCAAGCTAATTTTGGAGTAACTTTTAAAATTTACCGGGTTTTAAATACACAGCTAAAATCACGTTTCCATGGTTACAGAATATTCTACTCAAATTGAACACAGGGTGTCTAGATTTTCCTTATGACAGTATCATTGTATCAGTTATTATATTGGTAAGGGGTGAGGATGTATTTTACACTGAAACCTGACGTCAGTTGAATGGATGTCGTCTGAATTTTAAAAAAAAAAAAAAAAAAAAAAAAAAAATTGTTAACGGTAAAAAATTTTCATCATCTTTTAAAATTAAAGATTTTTTTACAATACTTTTTATTTAACTACGATTTGAAATATTTTCCTTTTTAATTTTATTTTTACTATATTCTTTTTAAGAACAGTTAAATGTATTAGAATCCATTATATTATGTAGGATTATTTTTAACATTAAGTTTAAGTATGTATATGAGGTTACATTTTTTTTTTTTTTTATATGATATGATATGAAATGGTTATATTCACTGATTCAGTAAACTTTTCTTTTATATATAAACCTATTATTATAATATTTCATGTAAGTATGAGGACATGGGTATTCAAAAGCTATATGTTATGGTATTTCATATTAATTTTATTTTACTATAGGTGTTATTTTTGGATTCTTTTTAATGCGTGTAGTATTATTTAAAAGAAATTTAGGTTAGAATTCATTCAATTTAACTAATTTTAATTACAAATTCAAAATTACAACTTTAAAATTTTAAAATATTTTCATTGTTTAGTTTTAATAGACTATATTACTTTATAACAGAAGGAAAATTACTCGTATTAAGTAAGATTATTTTCCATATCAAAGTATATGTAAATTTTTTTTTTTTTTTTTTTTTTTCCTTTTCTTCTCTTTAAATTTAAATATTATTTAAGTAATATTAATGGCACTTACTACAAAACTAGCTAAGTCATTTCTCAGATTTAGTAAACTTTATTTATTTATTAATTAATTAATTTATTTATTTCAAATATATGTAACCTAATTAATAAAGTTTCATATGTATGTAAATAACATGTTAGAATTCATTTTATTTTACTACAATTTTAATTTCAATTTTAAAATTTTAAAATTATAACTTTAAAATTTTAAAATATTTTTTCATTGTTAGTTTTAATTTAGACTATATTACTTTATAACAGAAGGATAATTACTCATAGTAAGTAAAAAATTTTTTTCCTATCAAAGTATATATAAATTACAATTTTTAAACTTTTAATTTAGATATTATTTAAGTAATATTAATGGCCAGACTACAAAACTATCTAAGTCATTTCTCAAATTAAATAAACTTTATGTATTAATTCAAGTTTAAGTATGTATATGATATATATATATAAACCTAGTGATATAATGTTTCTCATGTAAGTACAATATTATGTATAATATTAATGCTCTGTAAATTTACATTGAGCACTATTTTGTAAAAATAAAATATATAAGAACACCGGATTTTATATCTTACTGTTCTTTCTTTTTTTTTTTATATATATATATATATGTATATATATATATACATACATGTCTATATGTGTCTATATATATGTCTATACATGTGTATATATATATGTCTATACATGTGTATATATGTATGTGCGTGCATGTGTATGTATGTGTATATATGTATAAGTATATATGAGCATATTATTTAAGGATGTATATATGTTTATTGTGTATGTATGTGTATATATATGCATATAATGGAGTGTGTATGTATATATATATTGAGTGGACCTTTATGTGGGGTTATGTTTATGTATGTATATGTGGGTGTTTATATGTATATATATGTTTACACATATATATGTATGTACGTATGTATGTGTATTGTATGTACATATATGTTTACTCGTGTGTTTGTATGGATGTGTATATCTGCATATGTTTTTTATATGTATATACCACACACACACACACACATATATATATATATATATATATATATATATATATATATATATATATATATATATATATATATTATTTTTCCAAGTATAGCTTAGATGTAACACAAGGCTGAAAATATGGGGCATCCAGTGAAGATTGAACTCACTACTCGATTGTAATTGATCTAGCGAGACAAGCTTGCTAACCATTACGCCAACCTTATATAATGTATTTTATAATTATAAAGATGACTTAGATATAATAATAATTAAAGTTTTTTATACATATTTATATATTACATTTTAATTTTTCACTCTTTTTTATATATGCGATGATGATTGTTATTATTTTTTACATAAATTAGATGATGATGATATAAATTTTCATTTGATAACAGTCTATTTCACTAATTGTCATTTGTAATTCCCCCTCCTATACCTGTCCATTCTGTTGACACTTTGCTTCCCAACCCCTCTCTTCAATAATATAAATCCACAGATAAAATTTTTTAGGTCAAGCAGTTTAGATTTACTTCCTGTTCTCTTAGGATTTATTTAATTTTTTTTTTTTTTTTTTTTAACATATTGTCTGGATAATTTTAAACCATTTTGTAATTCCAGTCTGATGAGGCAGGGATTAAAAACTTACCTGCTGAAATAAATTTATTATTGGATTTTTCATGATGCATTAAGTTTTTTTCTTTGATATGTTTCTAACATAAATTATAGAAACAATTGTACTAACCAGAAGAAAAACTGGAAAAGAAAAATCATTTGGCATACCCCTCCATTCAACCAAATGGTTAGTATTAATCTAGGACATAAATTCCTAGCTTTAATTGAAAAACACTTTCCTACAAATAGTAGACTTAGTAAAATATTTAATAAAAACACCCTAAAATTAAGTTACAATTGCACTGAAAATCTAGAAAGTATAATAAAAAACACAATAATAAAATCCTGAATAAACCCTAATAGTCCTAATACTAATATGATATACATTGGGTCTACAAAGAATGAACTTAAAACCAGGTGGAGGCAGCATAAGTGCTCCTTCAACAATATTAATAAAAGAAATCAGACATCTCTATCTAAATATTTTTGGCATTTGAAGGAAATGAATAAAACACCAAAAGTAAAATGGAAAATTATAAACAAAACTAGAACTTGTAAAACTTGGGATGATCCATGCCCTTTATGCCTACATGAAAAACTACACATTATCAAGTTTCTAAATAATGAAAATTTATTAAACAATAGACATGAGTTAACAGTTTTTGCCAACATCATCAACTTTTCGCATTGAATAATTAGCATAAAAAACAAACAAACAATAAAATAATAAATACAAATTTTAAACTCCATAGTCTAAATAAAAAGTTTAAAAGCCCTACCTAATAAAAAAAAAAAAACCTTTATGAATTCATCAAAAAAACAAATGTTAGCGAATTATGACAGGTTTTTATATACACAAAACCCTTTCAGGGCAAAAAAAAAATAAAAAAATAAATAAATCTCCATAGACATTTAACCAGACTAGACGATGTCATCTTCCACTTTGAATTTAGACATCCCAACCTTACCCTGACTTGACCTCTTTGAATGTAACTGAGATATTGATACAAATCATTAACCCTTACGCTTCTTTTTTTTAAATAATTGCTCTAGCCGTTACCATAGTATTTTTAATTTTTATAATGAATATGCTTATAAAACGCATAAATTTCAAGAATTAGTTATTCAAAAAAAAAATTTCACTTGAAGATGGAACAGAGCTTGGCACTTTAATTCAATTTAATTCAAATAATTATATTGAAGTTTTTGGCTCTTATTTTGAAACATGAGAACTCTTATGTAGTGATGGAATCATATTTTTAAATGAATAATTATATATATATATTAATATATATTTTAAATAAATAATTATATATATATATATATATATATATATATATATATATAAGGTTTAGACATTTACTTATTGTTCTCGTGTTATGTAATATATTGTCTGGATAAATTTAAACCATTTTGTAATTCTGATCTGATGAGACAGATATTAAAAACTTATTTGTTGAAATAAGTTTATTATTGGATTTTTCGAGATGTGTTTAGTTTTTACCTTTGATGTATATCATATTGCTCTGTATATATACATTGAGTTTTCTTCATGAATCTCTGTTTTATATTAAAAAGACCTACTTGGATTATCCTTTACACTTACAAATTTGATATTATTACCTATATATATATATATATATATATATATATATATATATATATATATATATATATATATATACTTTAAAAATCAGAAGGGCAGTTGAATCTACTACCTTTGTTTTCATATTACAGTATACTCAGGTGATTTTTATCAAATGACCACCTAATGCTTTTATTTTTTTTTTAAATCTAAAGAATGCTACATTATTATTTTTAAAAATAAATAAACAAATGCGCATGATGTTGGGTGTAATAGAAAGGTAGGAGGAGGATGTGAAGAAAGAAGAAGAAGGGGTTAAAGAAGAAAAGCAAGTGTATTGTAAATGTATTAGTGGCGGGGGGGTGCAAATATTGTTGTCATTGTTATAAGCAACCACTGCCAACAGGAAAAATTGGCAATTATGACATTTCATTGCATTCTCTTGTATTGTCTTGACTGCTTGAAATTTTGTTCCTTTCAAGTAGGGTTTGATTTTTGAAGAGGAAAAAGTTGCAAGGGACAAGATCTTGGTTGTTGAACCTAAGGAATGCTGTGCTTCAGCAAAAACTGCTGCACACTCCATGGTCACTGAATGAACCTCTGTAGTGAGGTGAGATGACCACACTCTACACATTTTCCTAGTGTGTATGTGCAACAACGTCAATATGTGCCAAGCAGTTTCACTCTACGTTCTTTGGTTCTGTTACCATAGTAACAGTCCCAATACTTTTTGATCAGAGCTTGTATGTATATACATATATGCATACATACAGAGTGCTGAAAAGGTTTCAGCCTAACCAAGAACTCTTTTCAAGAAAAAAATTTGATGTTTGGTTTGTTCAGATTCTGAGAAGTGCATAATCTTGCCATTGCTGAGAACTTTTCAGCACCCTTAGGGTGTGTGTAGAGATAACAAGACAAACTGGAAAAAGATTTTACAGAAAACATGTATTGCCTCCATATAGCAGGCAACGTCAGGTTGGAATGAGAGACAAACCCTGTGTGTAAGGAAAATGTGTTGGAATTCATAAAAAAATACAAAAACAATGTTCTATTCATAAATTTATAAACGTTTACTAAATTATTAAAATATGTGAACCAACTATAAGGAAATCCTTATTATTTACCATTTTATAAAGTTTGAATTGATTGAAAATTAGCTGATATTTAGCCAAAACATTACAATAAATAATATAACAAATATATAGTGTAAATAAGCTGGTTAAAATAATAGCAGTGTCAGGAAAAAATGTCATTTTGAAACACTGTATTTTTGTGGGTTGAAGGTTGAAGATTACCAAAAGAAATCTTTCCTGTTCTAGTATCTGATAAGGTAATTTATTTTGCCTTCTTCACAAATTTTAATACACTCTCCTTACTGTTGTGTAGAAAGACTGACTAACCTTCTCTACACCTATTATTAAAATATGGACCGCTATGAGTAGAATATCTGCTCATGGAACAGTAGTACTTTGCAGTTGTATACTTGTCATACTAAACTGCTGTATTCTCAATCCATGATCTCAAGTGATTAACCCCCTCTTCATTCAACCTTTTGTTTCCCGCATTTTCCTTACATTTTACTATGAGTGCTATACAAACTTTATACCACTTTTATACACAGTTTGTCTCTTGTTCCATCCTGAGGATGCCTTCTAGACAGAAGGCAAAATGCTTTGCTGTAAAAGCTTTGTTGTATTATCTCTACTTTTGTTCAGATACTATTCTACATCCAATTAACACCCAATGTTTGTGCACAAGAGAGAGAGAGAGAGAGAGAGAGAGAGAGAGAGAGACTAGCATATTCACAGGTAATCCAATGCTTCTCAGAGGAAACACTTGGTCTCCAAAGGAGGATTTGATGAATGTTTGAACCATATAATATAAATCATAAGTATAATTGTGGGAAAAAAAATTACGAGATGATAATTCAAAATTTGGTGGATTTGAGAAGTGGAATCTGACCAAAAATTGACAAAAACTGTGTTGTAGATAAAGTTTTGTGGATTCTAGAAATAAGATTTCTTTCTCATTCCATCTATGAAACTAATTCTATCTTTATTCATTTACAGTTTTGCTTTCTGATTAATTGCAGGAGGTACTTTATTAGCTGCCCAAATTGCACACCAGAAGGGCCTTGCCTGTAGCACAGGAGGAGGAACACATCATGCTTTTCCTAGTTATGGATCTGGTTTTTGTCTTGTTAATGATCTTGCCATTGCTGCATCTCAGTTAAAAGAACAAAAGCTGGCCAAAAAGATCCTCATTGTTGACCTTGATGTTCATCAGGTATGGACAAAAAAAATATCAATATTCTGTATAAGAAATGCTACAGAAAAGAAACGCGCCATATTAAATATTTCACATGCGGAATAGTATTAGAAAATGCATATATAATATTTAAAATGCATGTAAAATATTTAATGATATATTCATCCTGTCAAGCTTTGTGAAAGCATTTTATACATGATGTCATTTATATATTGAAATCTGAAAAGTAACATTCGTAAATATGCTAGAATGAAGCTAATAAAAACTTTTTAGAAAACTTGGGCCTTTGTGCCCACAAAAAAACAGAGTTTCAAAAGGACAGTTTTTCCCTTGACACCACTATTATTTTAACTACCTTCACTCCTCGGAAATGTTTATTATTTCAAAAAAGCAATAATTAGAATTGTAATAAAACCTAAATATATAAAAATGAATTTATACATTTACAAGAAAAATATTAAATACTATTTTTTTATTAGACTGTTTATTTACAAGAATAATTTTACATTTACAACATTCTAAAAACGAATACAATTGTATTAAAACTAATATAATGCAATATTTATCATTTACCAATTGATCAAGAAATAAACATGAAAACAATTTTTTATCCATAAATCTATAAACATTTACTGAATCATTAAAATATGTGAACCAACTATAAAGAAATCCTTATTATTTACCATTTAATAAATTTCATATTGATTGGTAATTAGCTACCATTCATATTGATTGGTAACTACCTACCATTCCAATAAATAATATAATAAATAAATAATGGAAATAAACAATCTAATAGTGTTTATTATTTTTGTTGTCAGTTCTCAAGAACAACGAAAATTCACTTTCAGCATGTGTTTAGGTTTTATTAAAATTCTAATGATCACTTTTTAAAACAATAAATGTTGCCAAGGAGTAAAGGTAGTTAAAATAACTGTGTCAATGGAAAAACCTTCCTTTTGAAACTTTGTTTCTTTTCAAGCACAAAGATCCAAGTTTGCCAAACTTTCTTTATAACATTGCTAACATTAAATTCCTGTTAATAACCAGAAATGGTTGAAAGTACTTAAACAAAAACTTTGGACAGCTCTCCATAAATTTGATCTGGATCTGAGACAATATAACTGTAAATTGGAAAAATATAAACTGATAAAGATTTTCAGTCTAATTTAATAAAACTTGTTTAATTATATGTATGCATAAACCAGTATTTTATTTTCTGCTTTAACTAATTTCAATCAAATATTTTGTATTATTTTCCACTGCTTTTTTCCTTCCCAAAAATGAATATAGGTTTGTAATATTATACATCTATATGTAAGAATGTAAACATTGAGGTCAGGTCAGCACCCAGCAGTGACAGTCTGTTTGATGCTTAAACATTCAATATTCAGGCCATTGTGATTTTACATGAAACAGACTGTCATCACTGGGTGTTGACCTCAATGTCGACTTTTATATTTACATATGCACTATCCCTAATATTGAGTACTTTAAACCATAAATGCAGCATACCTTAAAACTATACTTTTGTCATATATATATATATATATATATATATATATATATTAAACAGACAAAACTGCATATTTTTCCATTAAAAAGGTAACCTTTTTTGCCCAACATCTCAGTTCTTCGTCTCCTGTCAGTATGTCTATTATCCAGTGATTCTCATTACATTATTCTATTCACCAATGTCCCTTCTGATTGGATAAAAAATAGGTTGCCTCTTTAAGAGGAAATGGTGCAGTTTTGTCTGTTTAAAACTATCTATAAGTTTTGCTGTGGTATCAGACATTTTTATATATATATATATATATATATATATACACATTTATTATCTGTCTATATTTCTGAGATGAGGTATTATGTACATTATTTACATTATTCGGACTATTGTCCTCATCTTTTTGGCCGTTGTACGTTCCACTCTTCTTCAGGTGGTCGGAATGTCGAACTGAACCCTTTATTTCGCTCACTGGTGTAGACTGTTGTAGTTGGTTCCTGTCACTGGATCTAACTAAGGACACATGGCACAGTGGATAAAGGCATTAGTTAGATCCAGTGACAGGACCCAAAGAGTGTTCAATACCCGGCTAAGGCAGTGGAGAACTTTCAGAGGAAAATTAACAGGAGATAACTGTTACCTGACATCCATTAAACATGGCATGTGAAACTAGAACTGTCTACCCCAGTGAGCGAAATAAAGGGTTCAGTTTGACATTCTAACCACCTGAAGAAGGCCGGAGTATACAACGGCTGAAACGTTGTAATAAATATGGTGACAAAGATGTGGACAATAGTCCGAATAATTTTATGAAATTTGAATTTTATAATATAAAGGAGTTGCTCTCGGTGTCTCATGTCTCCCATTAAAATCCTGGGTTGCCTCAACTTTACTTAACTCCTTAACCTGGCTAAAACTGCTAATTTTAAATCTGGAATACTGTCCTGAGAGCCAAGTGCCCTTCTTTTGAGTATCACTAATCTGCTGCAATTATTTGACCTGAGGGCATATTAACCTTTATCATTCTGCATTATTTACAAATATGACTTCTCCAAAACCTTCCTCAATAAGTGCAGTAGCTTTGTTCTCAATTTTAGTTATGATTTTTTTTTACTGTTGCCATAGCAGGATATGACAACACAAAAATTAATTTCAAATATACTGTTGTTTGGAGATCCAAGTTACTTGCAGTAGAAGAACAAACCTTTTGGTGAACAAAATAAATGTCAGAGATTAAAAGTTAATTCATTCATGTTGTACTTCCTGTATTTTTAGGGAGATGGTACAGCATTCATCTTCCAGAATGATCTTGATGTTTTTACCCTGTCTATGCACTGCCAAAACAATTTTCCTCTCACAAAACAAAAAAGTGATTTAGACATTGAACTTGAAAATTTCATCGAGGTATGTGATTATAATTCATGTTTTCACCCAGTTACATTTTTCTGTTCCTTTAAAACTTTTCATCTTTTACTAATACCATCATTTCATATTTATGTATAGTGATTTATCACATTAACTCCAGTTTTTCCTTGATCAACCCTAAATATAAACAATTCAGAAGTTTTATTTCATAAAGGGTCCAAAGCCCAACAGTTGTGAAGCTGGATATAGAGATGCACCAAAGAGAAACCATAAAACACTTCCTTAAAATAGAAAAGGTCAAAGTTCTTAATTTAATAAAAAAAAAAAAAATATGCCAAGGTTGCTAAGATCTATAATAAGAACAAACCTTTGGTCATATAAGATTTATTATAATGTTATAATTGTTCTGTTTATTATTAGTTATTTTTGTTAATCTCTTATTATGCCTAATATCTAAATTACTAATAGCTATGTATGTATAGAAAAAACAAACAGAATATTTAGGATTAGATGCTATCTGTGGTTTCATGCATTTACAGAGGGGTGGGGGGTGTTGAGGGCAGGGTTGGATCACTCATAATATTCATAGTTACAAAAATGCCAGGCTGCTGATCTCTGCCAAATGTGAATTCAGGTAATAAATGAATAAAGTAACAACAAAATATATATATATATATATATATATAACAAATGACAATGTATGTATTGTTATCAAAAGGTATGCATAGACAATAACAGAAGATTGCTGTATGTGACAAAATAATGAATATGAAAGAAGATAACATTTAAACTAGTGAAGGTGTTTATGTAGAAGTAAGTCCTATAGAGAAGTAAATGAAATTGAAGTGAAAGGTACATGCATGTATGCGTACATGCCCCAGTATCAGATGCTTTTCTTCACGTGTAACTTACATTTTACAATGTAAGAAAAATAGAAGAGAGAGGATGACAGAGAATGTCACTGTCTATTTATAGGCTTAAGGAGCGTCCTCTAGTGACATTTTTTGTGAAGTAAGTGGGGCTAACTTCACAGATGATGGCTCGTGAAACTTGGTCGTTTCATAGTATGAATGAATTTGATATCTAAATTATAGTTGAAGGAAGAATTTACTGTTTTAAAGATGTTATTAAGAGAAGTTTAGAACTGGTTTCAAAATAGAATTGAACTTTTTTCTCTTTTTGTAATTATTTTGAACACAGCTGAACAATTGAGAATCTGTAATTAAAAACAAAAATGTGGGAACACTTTTTCATGTACATCATTGAGTATGTTTACACACATCTGATACCTATATTCTATAATTTGAATATCATTAAAAAATTGTTAATATTTCTTTCATCTTTTATTTTTAAAGGATTTGGAATATTTGGCCATTCTTAAAGAACACCTGCCTCATGTACTAAATACATTTCGACCTGAATTTGTGTTCTATGATGCTGGAGTTGATCCCCATGTCAATGATGAACTTGGATATCTCAACCTATCTGACCAGGGTAAATATTGCATTTTTCCTATAATAAAAATAGTTAAAAAATAATCCTGGCGAAAATCCATGATTCATCTTTGCAGTTTAAGAAAGAAGCATAAATTAGCATAATTAAATGAGGTTAAAATAAAAAGGAAAGAAATCACATTATTTATCATTTTCAGTAGAAGCTCTGTCAAAAAAAATACAATATTCCTCTTTTGTTACTGTTCTTTTGTACTTGATTTTATTAATGTTTACATGAAAGTAAAAAATGCGACATAAGTTTGCAATGATGTAACTAGATGCACTTAACCAATATTTTTTTTTATCCACTGAGTTGTTCTATGAGAGGTCAATCAGTTAGTGTAATTTTGGAACCATCAACTTAAAATCTATCCAGAGGCTCCCACATGGGGCTCATTTCTATGCTTGACCTGCTGATTACATTAATACAGTATAACATATGCACTAATTGTTTTGTTTAATTTTCCAATGTTTATCTTTATTATTTTAACTTAATTTACTTATTATTTATAAATTATTTTTAGAGGTGTTAGCCACCACTTGGGTACTTCAAGATGCCTCAGTTTTTTAGTTACTATATTAAAAAACAAATAAAAAATTTGTCTAAAAATGAAATGTTTTTCCCAAAATAATTGGTCAGGAAGGGGTTAAGCCACATTGACATTAGGAGTGGAGTTGTTTAAGTTTTAGTCGAATTTGAGTACAGTTGTTTATAAATAAAATCATTTAATGTACTTGTCATCATTGATAGCTTTATATTATATCCAAGAATTTAATTTCTTTGTTAATCACTTCCTTTATAATGATGGCGTTGATGATGAAGTAGACCAGTTCTTGGATGGAAGAGTCCATGGCATTGACTGCATGCTGGAGGATGAGTTTGATTCTGTTGAAACTTTCTTTCTTGTCATTTGACTTTTCCTTCAAAGTGGCTTCAAAGTGTTTGGTTCTGATGGTGATGGAACAATGCCAATTGATACAGTGTTTCAAACAATTTAGGCTCAAGTCTAGTGGTTTTCAGTGTTGTTTTGAATTGGTCCTTGTATTTTTGAAGAGGGCAGTCCTGTGGTCTTTTCCCTAAAGTGAGCTTGCTAAATAAGACTTGCTCTGGTAAACTTGACTCTTCTTGCTGCATGTTCTGATTATTGAAGAGTGTTTCATGATCAGTGATTGGATTCATTGACTTTGATGTTGTTCACATAGTATTCTCATTTGATGTTCAAAATTGAACAAAGATTTGCTGGTGAAATGATATAGAGTCCAGGTTTTGTAGACATATAGCAAAGTTGAAATAACACCAGTATTATAGAACATAATTTTTGTTAAGTTCAGGTCTTTTTTGTTGAAGATGCATTTGATTAGCTTTCCAAATACTCCATGTGCAGCTTCAATTCTGTTTTCTATATCCTTTAATATAGCACTATTCAAGTAAAAGCCATGTGTTTTTATCAAGTAAAAGCTGTGTTTTTATCAGGAGATGGCTAAGGGAGACACTACTTTTGGGTGGTGATTACAGCATTAATTTACCACAGGCATGGTGTTGATTTGTTGATGTGTCAGACTATTATTTCTTTCCTTGTATATCTATAGAAATATATTTACTATTATTAAATGTAATATTTCTTTTTATTTCAGGCCTCTTTGACCGTGATTATTATGTTTTGAAATTGTTAGCCTCACATGGTATTCCATGTGCCACTGTAGTTGGAGGAGGCTATTCCACCAATAGAGAACAACTTTATATTCGACACACAATTATACACAGAGCTGCTACCAAGGTAAGCATATGTCTTGCTGTTATTTTCAGGGGGCACTTCAAGGTACTGTAATGGTTAGCAAGCTTGTCTCACTAGAACAATTATGATTGAATAGTGAGTTCAATCCTCACTGGGTGTCTCCTACTTTCAGCTTTGTGCCACATCAAAGCTATGCTTAGAAAATTGCTGTCTTTCTATTATTTTCATTAGCAAATCATGAAGCCTTTTCTTCTTAAGAAAAACTTGCTTATTCCTATTCTTTTTGTACTTGTTAATACATTATAGTCTCTGGTTCCATCTGCTTGCATCTTGTATAATCCTGCCCGTCAATATTTCCAGCTTTAAAAAATGTTAAATAATTAGCAAATTATTAAATACCGAATACTTTCCTACCGTGAAAGTTGTTTCACATGGTGTTGAACCACCCCCATCACCCCCAACACCATATTCCAATTGTGAGGAAGAATTTCTACTCGGACAGCTTTTTTTTCCAAGAACTGCTGCTTTGTGGAGCTGATTCTTTATTGGATGCTTCTCTAAATCCTATAATTTAAACCTCTTCAAGTCAAGTGTCAATCATTACTTATTCTCCATATACTTATAATTTTCTCTTTCTGTTTCCTACACATTCATTTATATCACTCACCTCTTTCAATACATCTACCTTGATTGGCTCTTGAGCCTTGTATTGGGTGAACATTAGTTTAAAATTAAAAATATTTCTGAATTTTTGCATGGATAAGAATTTTTCTTGTAAACATGCACAAATGATCTTTTTAAATTTTTTTTATAGACAACCAACCAGGTGACATACTGGATCATTAAATAAATGAATAAATAACAAATTGTGTTTTGTGTTTCATGTCCTTTCTGGACGTCAGCAATCATGGGTCTCCATAATTAATATTTGATAGTTATATCCCTTGAAAAATTGAGTTTTTCAGTTGAACATGGATGCACCTCACAGTATTCATCATCATCATTATCATCAGTTTCATGACCAAGTGATGGATGTGTGAGTGATGCAATCTTTAGTGGCTTGGAATGAGAATTTGAAGAACTGAGTTCGAATCCCACTCAGGTTCATTACATTCATGTGCAAATACCTTTGGGAAAGATATGAATCCATCCTCTCCCCCGGCTATGGGTTAAACAGTAGGGCTTGTATCTGAAAATGTTATTGTTATTCTCAAAAAATTGTTAATGCAATGTTCACATGCACAAAATTATTGTTCTTACAATCCAAAATATGTTTCAGCTTTAAATAATCAAAAAAGGGTTGATAAGTCATAAAAAAAACAAAAAACAAATCAATAAAAACCAACCATTACTAAGCATGGTTGCTGTGCAATTGAACAGCTGACCAGATTCCTCCACATGTCCCTGTTGTGTCAGTCAGTATCTGGGTTGAAAATTGTAAAGGTAATCATTCATGTGTAGTGTGTAGGTACTTGGGCAAGTAGACCTGGAGGAGCCCATCCCTCTCCAAGTCAAACAATATTATTCAGTTGTAAAACACTGTTTTTGCATTCTTAGTTCATTTTCTATGTACTGTTTTGTCTACTTTGTGGTTAAATACAGATAGATAAAATCTAGCATATTTTTGATCATTTAATTTTCTCAGAGAAGAAATTATTTTATATAAAGCTGATAATAGTCATTTAAGATGAACATCCGATAGGAATGTTATTGACACATTTTACTAATCTTCAGTGTCAATATTCCCATTTACTTTGAATTTAGTATTTGTTTTACATAACAAATTTATAACAAAGTCTAACATTTATCATATTGTATCATGGACTTTGCTTGAAAAAAAATTCAACTGTTACAATTCTAGTATTATATATTGAAGATTGAGTCCCAAAATGTGCAGCTGGAAGTCTTAGGTCTCTTTAAGTGAATTAATAAATTTAAACTGTAATACTAATTATGCCAACGTAAGCAATAAGGGTAGCACCTTTGCTTCTGTTGCTTGGACTAATAAGGTAGTTATAGCTGAGTGTGGTTTCCTTAAGTGCTTGCTCACCCACATTTTTTCTACATCTACCATCATGGTATGCCATTAACATAACATTTTTTCTTAAGATAAACTGAAGAACTGGAAGAAATTCATACATGCCTTTCACTAGAATATTAGTGTGACGATAAACAGTATCAGTCAGAACTTGGTTTATATTTTTTGGTATCAGTGTAGCTGATCATTATTATTATAGGCACCACCACTTTTTAAAATTAGAGTTGGTAAAACTTGGTAACAAAGAAAATAATTTCAAATCCATAATGCAATTGTAGAAGCCAATAGCTACAAACCCCAAGAGGCTCAAAACATTTTTCTCCAGCTCTATATTCACAAGTCCTGTAAGCCATTAGGACCTGGGGGCACCACATGTACTGCTGTTGTAACACTAGGTGAGTGTATCTAGAGAAAGATAGCAGTTTCAAATTCAAAGTTGTTGTTCTCCTAGATTGGTTGCCAACCAAGGCTAATGAGCCCAGTCTTCCCTGTAAGAACAACTACATTGTATTCAAACCCTCATAAATATAAGAGTGTACGGATTTCAGATACATCCTTAGGAGATAGATACTTTTTTCTTTTAAATCAATTTAATGACCAGAGTTTCTTAGGAATCTTGTCTCCAGCTCACCTGTGAGTCAGTTTAATGACCAGGATTTTTCAGAAATCCTGTCTCCAGCTCACCTTTTAATTGGCAAACATAAAATTTTGTTAGTGATTTTAGATAATCATAAAAGTAGTGACCTTTGAAAAAACTGACTACCCAAAAGCTGAATGAGTGGATTCCTTTTCTGGGACACAAGTAAGATGGATATGGGTGGTGGGACCCCAGCCAGTATCCATATAAATAGTCAGTGAGGAAAGGACCAGCAGTGAGTAAATCAGCAGTCACTGAGACAGTCAGGCAGTGAGTGTAAGGGTCCTTTTTCTGTAACTGGAAGTTAGTACGATAGCAGGAGTTCACCTTCTTGAAGCCAATTAAGAGAGAAAATGTATTGTTTCATATTTCACAACCAGTGTCTTGAAAAGCATTTGTTGTTATTCTTTGCTGAATTTGATCATGGCCACTGAGACAAATCTGTGAACGTAGTGAACTGGGTGTCTACACATACAGCCGACCTTGGATGTCATCACAGCTTGTGTAGTGACGTATCATCACAAAGGTTTAAATTGAGAGTTGTTCTTCTTAACTGCTTCGCCTACTAAAGCTAAAGATCTCAATCTTTGCTATAATTTACAAAATTTTGAATTCCATTTTCTTTCTCCTAGTCTAGCTTCCCCGCAAAGCAAGAGGACCCAGTTTTCCCTGCAATTTAACTCATACTTAGGGGAAGATAGATTCATGCCTTTTCCAAGGGCATTAGTGCAAAGTGAATGAAATAGAATCAACCAAAATTTGAATTCATCTCTGCAATTTCATTTTTTACATTACTAACCATGACACTTACCTACACATGGGGGATATTGTGACATATATATTATTTATGATTAAGATTAAGATTGTACTAACTTTGGTCTTTGCATAAATGATAAATACTATAACAGGCCAGAGAACTGATTTTAAAAAGTCCACCCTTCATATACCAATGATATGTCATGTATAACATGGCCAGTGATTATCTGGAACTTACATCTAGTCTCTCTTATCACTGTCTAATGGTACACTGTTATGAATGTTATATCACAAGTTGGATACAGACTTTGAACATTTTTATCAGAATATCTGCATTCATTTACTATATCCAAGTCAAAATCAGCATTGTCATTCAGGGTTTTTCAAGTTTAATTTAAATTCATCTCGTAACCATCTCAATGTCAAAATACTATTTTGTAACCATCTCAATGTCAAAGCCAAATTGAAAAAACATTTACAGTTATACAAATCTTTCATAAATAAACCTTGTTGAACTCAACCCAGACCTCAAGTGAAACTCGTACTTACAATCCATTGCTAAAGATGCTGGCAAAATGTTTGATCTCCTAACCTCTCCTGCAATCCTCTACCTTTACAAGAGCCAGATCAAGCCAAATATGGTTTACTGTTACCATATATAGGCAGGAGCTGCTCAGTCCTCACTTTTGAGTCTTGATAGAATCTAAAGTATTTCCATGTCTTTGTAGGCAACAAATTATTTTCCACCCTAGAACCCTTTTCTCCCTGATGAAATGTCACTGTCCTTTCAATGCTCTATCACTATTTCCATGGAAAGTGTTCAGACAGGTCCACCAGTTCTAAACTTCATGACTAAAACCTGCCATACTACATGTGTTATCATGAACCACTCTCATTCTATTCAACAGATATAATTTCCACTCAACCAGCTTCTTCCCATAAAACTGCTGCTTTGTGGAAACATCTCCCAAAGAGATGCTTCTCTGATCACTACAATCTTAACCTGTTCAAGTCTAGGGTTAACTGTTATTATCCTCTCAGATAAACTGTTCCTCTTACTTTGTAACAATACACTGAGTGGCTCTTTGGCCTTGTACAGGGTGAATACCATTGTAAAAATGATTTGGTTCTAAAATTGCATTTATTTATAATCAAATTTCCCAGTCTACTTCCAATCAACCGTCATATCTCGTGAATATGCCTCAAAATCAATTTTTTCATATTTTTGTAGGAAAGTTTTAGAATATTTTTATAGAATTATGACAGAGAAATAGTGAAAATAATCTTTATTTTTATAGTCAAATGAAAATATAACATTTTTTCCAGCCTACAAGTTTAGTTAGACTATTGAAATGATTATTTATGTAGATTATGTCATTACTGGACAATTCCTGGAATGATAATGAGTTTTTTTTCAAAATTATAAACAGTAGCTTTGTCTTTACTTTAATGAATTAAAATCATTCAATAGTGAAAGTAATAACGCAACAATCTAGGTTGAAATCTCAATGTATTGAGATGACAGGTCATTGAAACGAAATGTTTTGAATTTGATTCTCTTTATCATTTATGCATATTTAAATTAGTTTTCTCTTTTTTTTTCAGATTTGGAATGAAAATTTATGATAGAAATTATGTCAATCATAAAGACAATAAATGAACCGCATTGTAAGAATTATTTACAAACTTGATGAATTCTAATTTGAAGAACATTGAAGATAACTTGTTATCCTTCTGGAAATAGTAATTGTCTTAATTTTGGGATTCATGTGTGGCTTTGATTGTATGTATTTTCATATATTTTAATAGAAAATGACCCTAGTGGAGATTAATGTCAAGTATAAAGTTCTGCTTTAATTGCTGTGATTTGAATTGGAAGTGTGCAAAAATTGACTCTAAACCCATCCTCAATATGGAGATTGTGTTGCCCTTGTACACTGTCTACAATTGCAAGAAGATCCAAGATATTGGCAACAGCCTCCAAAGAAAGTTGAGTAGCAGCAGGGTCAACAAGGAATACAATTGGAACTTCATTAAAGATCTGAAGACCCTAATTGCAAAGAACTCCAAGATATCCATGCATGAAACAGCTGGCTAGCAAGAAGTGAACTCCAATAAATGGCCATGCATAATAACCTTAAGTCATAAAAGTGTTGCAAAAGCACCTCGCTATGTAGTCCATCCAGAAAGTGGAAATGCTATCTAAAGGTATCTAAAGAATCATGGATCCACTATTAAAATATTCTTTGATGAGAAAGTCTTAAAGACGATGTTGTTTTGAGCCATTGAAACTTACAAGTTTAAAGAAAAGGTGGCTATTAATGCCTAATACAAAATCTTGATATACCATGTTTTGCTAAGAAGGTACAGAATTTGTGAAAAGCTAACTTTATTGATTTCTAGACATATTCCAGTCTAGGATTGAACCGTCTAGACAATGCAATGTGAGGCATTTTTGAACACGACCAAACTCCTACATAAATACATTCAAAGGTGCCATCATGTAGAAGTGGGCCAAGATGTCCAAAGGCATTGTTAAGAGTTGCAGTTTTCAAGGACATGTTCAGTCTGTAATTGAAAATAAGTGAACTGAATAAATTGCTTTGATATTACCTATGATTTTTACCATTCGTTTGTCATAATTTACCTGTTTTAAGCATAATCAATGAGTTTTGAAGATTTTAAGGAAATTTGCAAGTTTTGCTTCCTCACTTTATAAATTATTGAAGACATTTTATTTCTGCCTGATTTTAAAATTAGAAGTGACTTCAAAAAATTTACTTGTATGTCTAAGATAATTACAAATTTCAATTCAAGGATACCATAATGAAGGCAATTGGAGAAAGTGTTTTTTGACATCAGGAAAGAAAATCCATTCTTGAAAAATATCAGCCTACTTTGACTTCAATGTGCTGGATATGGTTACATTAATTATGAGACCTATTTTAATGAAAATTAAAATCAAAATGTTTCTTCTTTCTTTATTCAAAGATTGGCAGTGCAACTCAAAGTAATTAATATAATGTATATGTAAAATCTGCAGTAACCACAGTGTATGATCATGTAAAAAAAGTGCTTTTGATGAAGAGTGACTCAGAATTAATTTCAAACTTCTCAAGAGTTTTATTTCAGTCTAAGGAGACACAATCTGTCAAAAAAAAGAAAAAAAGAAAAAAACTATGTCTGAACAAGACATGATAGTGAAGTATGTCTTCCTTGACCTTGTGAATGAAACAGTAAAAGATGGTGTGGTCGGCAGACAGATACTTTGAGAATATTTACAAAAGTGTGATTATTCTATGAGTAAATAAAAATTGACAAAAATAGAAAGATGTGTGTTACTTACTTTATTTATGCCAAAGTAAAAAAAAAATAAATATTTCTCTGAAACTTTGACAATTCCCACAGCATTCTATCCATTTCTGTTTCACTCAATCATTTGATACCTTAGAGTTTTAAATACTTACAAAAAGTTATATCATTTGGCAGATTTTCTCTAATGTAAAGATCTATGAATGGATGTGAACACAGTGTGGAAAATGGAATTATGTGCAAGTCAACAGTGTAAACAGCAATAGTAGTATAAAGGGAATAACTGTCTTTTTGAACACATTGTTTTTTTACGGGAATAAAGGTTAAACATTGCTGTATTTTCAATACCCCCCCCCCCGCAAACCAAGCTATTATCATTTCATCACTACTGTTCAAATTTTCTTCAATCATGGTGAACCTGTTTCATTTTCAATGAGGCTCCAAGCTCTGAATGTCTACTTACATCAAGTTCACTCCAGATATCAGAACATATATGTCATTCGCAGACAGTACTGTTTTGCTGTATCACAGCTTCTCTGCGACTAGACATCCGAATGCTTCAAGACTAGATCAAGACACAACCGATTTGGTGTCAGTCAGAGTTTCTACCACTGAGCTATCATCATTCAGCAGAGAGAAACAGCTAAATCTAGCATATTGTTTTTACGAATGTAAACAAACACCAATCAGCAGGAGTACTACAATTCATTTTACTGAAGTGCTTTGCATTATATATATATATATATATATTATATATATATAGAGAGAGAGACACATAATCTATCATTAAAGATGCTGGGAAAATAGGTAGCTGTTACTTCTGCCATACTTTGTCTACATAAGTCTAATTAGACCAAAAATGGAGTATTGCTGCCAATTCTGGGTGGAAGCTGCTCAATAATCATTTTCCATCCTTCATAGAATTCAAAATCATTTATGCAGATTGTTGTGGAGGCAGAAATAGATAATCTGGAAGACAGAACCTTGCTGTGTGGAGGTTAATTCCTTCTCTACCTTGGCAAACAAATTCAAGTGCAAAAATAAAGACATTGAGTATAGGTAAATAAATACCTATTATTATTTACCTATACTCAATGTCTTTATTTTTGCACTTATATATATATATATATATATATAATATAATAATGGTTTTGACGTATGAGGATCTGACAGATTAGTGATTCAGTTATGAAAGTTTGTGTGATAATCTTGAGTGGCATTTATGACCTGCTAGTGATTTACAAAGGAGTCCACATATGAATCAAGGTAAACCACCAGAAAACCCACACAAGTGATTTGATTAAAGTGGTGAAGGCTTGTGCAGAACCATCCACACTTTTCAGAATTATTGATACACTTAGTCAGTGCAAATAAATGCCACAGATGAAGCAGACAATATACCTCAGGCTTTTCGTGTAAGAGTTTTCCATCTCCTAGACCAATCGTGATCTATAACACTAAAGAGCTTGGTGTATATATATATATATGTATATATATATATATATATATATATATGCAAAATTAGTAACTTCTATCTGTTGCTAAGGCATCAGGGAGAGAGAATGGTGAAATTAGAAGTGAAATGGATATTGGTGATGCCTGTCATCATCAGTGGTTTTTTTCTCTTTCAGCATGTCAGTGTTGACATCAAACACTGATGTGTGTTGCGGCTTTCTTTCTCACAGCATGCCAGTGTTGACATCAAATGCTGCTCTGTTTGAATTTGAGTATATGTAGCTGTCAATTGGCTCCAAATTAAGTTTTTGGTTCTTTTTGCATGAGTAGCTCTGACTGGTCATAATATATTGTTCATTTTGTTATGGTTAAAGTGGGTGTATGCATGGAACTGATGCACAGAAGGTGTTTTTACACAGTCAACATCTGGTTTGTGTAGAAAATGTAAGAGGCATGACAAGATCATCTACAGGTGATAAAGATTAAATGAATGGGAAATATAATCAGTTTAATTTAACCAACAAATATGTAATTAAATTGCAAATAAATATCTACATCATAAGTAAGACTTGTACACTCCACCATCACTATTTCTAAGGATGTATCAGGTCATCCCATAAGTTCTGTCCGAATTTTAACTTTTTGCTAAAATGAAAGAAATTTAAAGAGTATTTTATAATGTCTAATGGAGCTGAACATTATTTTTATGTTTAGATGCATTTAAACTGATCAGATTTTATTTCAGAGAACAATAAAATTAAATTTTGTTTGATTAAAACCCTGCTAACATGGAAGTACCCAAGAATTATTTGAGACACATAATGCTTTATGAGTTCAAGAAAGGAAACTCAGCAGTTGAAGCGGCTAGAAACATTCACTCAGTTTATGGAGAGGAATGTGTGAATTAAAGAACTTGCAGAAGATGGTTTGCAAAATTCAAGATCGCCAAGAAATAATCCACTTTGAATTCTTACCACCTAATGCTCAAATATACTGTCAGCAAAAAGAGCGTTTGAACCAAGCTTTGAGGGGAAAAAGACCTGCTCTAGTGAATCGAAAAGAGGTGATGCTTCATCAAGACAATGTGCGACCCCACACAGCAAGAATCACGTCACAAAAGATCGAAGAACTTGGTTGGGAGAAAATTCCTCATCCACCTTATTCTCCCGTTCTTGCTCCTTCAGACTACCATTTGTTTCGTAGCTTACAGAATCATTTGGAAGAAACAACTTTTGTAACACAGGAAGACGTTAAAACTGACATTTGTGAGTTCTTCGAATCAAAGCCAAAAGAATTTTACAGTAATGGAATTAGTAAGCTTGTTAATAGATGGAAGGAAGTCATAGATAATCAGGGAAAATACATTGTTGATTGAATCTTTAATTAAATGTAACATTTGGTCACTTGTTTTCTTTATTCAAAATTCGGACAGAACTTATGGGATGACCTGATAGTATGTGATTCACACTAGAAAATAATAGGATGATCTGAATTGAATTTAATGTAATTAAGGAACCTTTCTTCTAAGAAGTGTTGATCTGGAGTGGTCCCAATATGTACTGAGCACACTCTAAGAGATAACAAAGTAGACTTTGCATTCAGAGCCTCAGATGTCCTACATAGCTGATTGACCAAGATGATGACCTCCAAGCTACCAGGTGCAGATTCGTAGCTCAGTGGCTGCCCTTGGCGTGTAAATAGGTGGTCAACCTAGTTGCACTTAAGATGTACACATGTAGAATAACCAGATGACAAGAAGATATATAGGCAACCCACAGGAGAAGAAAACGTCAGATAATCTCTAACCTCTTCATGAGAAAAAGAACCCACGTTCGGAGAGAATCCCCAAAGCCACATAC